TGAAATAAGTCAGATGGAGAAAGCCAATACTGTATGTGCTCACTCATATGTGGAGGATAAACACACACAGAGATATGGAGAACAGATTGCTGGTTACCAGAGGGGGAGGGGGTTGGGGAAGGATGAAAGGGGTAAAGGGGCACATATGTACAGAGACAAACGGAAACTGGACTTTTGGTGGTGAACACAATGCAGTCTATAGAGAAGCTGAAATATAATGATGTACACCTGAAATTTACATAATGTTATAAACCAATGTGACCCCAATAAAATAATAAAAAGTAAACAAAAAAAGTAAATGTAGTATCTAGATACAATGGAATACTATTCAGCCTCAAAAAAGAGGGGAATTCTGCAATATACTACAACATGGGTGAACCCTGAGGACATTATGCTAAGTGGAAGAAGCCAGTCATGCAAAGACAAATACTGCACGATTCCACTTTATATGAAGTATTGAAAATAGCCAAATTCATAGAATCAAAGAGTGGAATGGTGGTGGCCAGGGGCTGGGGGAGGGGGAAGTGGGGAGTTGCTAATCAAGGGGCACACAGTTTCAGTTAAGCAAGATAAGCTCTAGAGATCTGCTGTACAACACTGCTCCCAGAGTCAATGATAATCTATGTACACTTCAACATTTGTTACGAGAGTAGATCTCATTATAACTGTTCTCACCACGATAAACTAAAACAAAATAAAAATTAAAACAGGAGAAATTCTGACGCATGCTACAAGGATGAACCTTGAGGACATTATGCTAAATGAAATAAGAACCTTGGGGACATTATGCTAAGTGGAAGAAGCCAGCCACAAAAGGACAGATACCGTATGATTCCACCCATATGAGGTCGCGAGAGCAGTCAACTTCAACTTCACAGAGACAGAAAGGAGGATGGTGGCTGCGGGGGGGGGGGGGGGCAGGGTTTCATGGGGACAGAGTTTCAGCTCAGGAAGATGAACAAGTTCTGGATGGTGGGGATGGCTGTGCAGCAAGGTGAATGCACTTGATGTCCCTGAACTGTATACCTAAAAATGGTTCAGATGGTCAATTTTCAGTTCTGTTTATTTTTCCACACATACACACGTAGCTCTGAATGGGAAAATAAGACCCCAAAGAGCAATGTTCTAGGGGCTGGGATCATTAAGGTTCACACATCAGAAGCCTCAAGTCTTTTTCCTTTAAAATGGTAGGTCTTTGAATCCACGTGAAATCAGTATGTATGCCCTCTATACACATTGGGACAAAGTCTTAGGCTAAAAACAACCTAGGAAAAGAGACCTACCTTCTACTGGTGAAATCCAAGTGCCTCGTTCAACTTCTGAGCAAGGGGAGGAGGGCTGCTGATAGGATTTGATGAAGAGAGAAGTGAGTGAGCCCAATCTCCTCCTTCCTGCTGGGGAAAGTTCCCAACCACTGAGTCCGGGAGACAAAAGGGACAGATAGTCTGTCCATTTCAAACCAGATGGAGAGAGACGAGTGTCCCGTTCTTCGAAAACGTGGGAGAGCAGCCTCTTTGTAAAGGGGAAATGCAGAGCAATTCAGAGGAGTGTGTTGGGGTAGTCAGGGCCCTGCCTGCTGCCTTCCACGGAGTCAGTGCGGGAAGCTAAAATGTGGCTACTGCAAGCTCACCACTTTAGTCAGTGGACAGATACCACCTGTCTGTACAAGAAAAAATTAAAGATGACTCAAGGCAAAATGCACTTCCCCAAGGACTCAATCAGCTCAACCTTGTCCTTTCACAGACCTGCGGGGCCTCTCTGCTTGTCTGTTTACTTTTAGGACACAGAAAGGCCTTGGCTTTGAATTTGTGGTGGCCACTGAGAAACCCATCAGCATCCTGCAAGCTGTAGCTAATGCTGTTCCCTCTGCCTGGAATATCTTCCCCTCCTCTCCATGGTGAGTTCCTCTTCATCCTTCAAGGCCTAGCTCAACTGTCATCTCTGTGAGACCTCCTCCCCCTGCCCCAGGCAAGGTTAGCTGCCTCCTTAGCACTCATTTATGCTCCCATTCTGACATTCAGCATGCTGGTTTATACTTTTTCTTCCACGTCTGTCTTGGCCCAGTAGGCTGTGAACCACTGGAGGGCCAGCAAAGAGCCTGGAATGGAGTACAGGTTCAACTGTGCTACTGCGGCTGGCCTAAGAGACCTCATCTGTGGGGTGGCAATCCTTCCTCCTGACCTCAGAGCTGCTGTGGAGCTCAGGCAAGCCCCATGGGTAAAAGGGGAGCTGCAACTTATACAAGAGCACCTGGGGGTCAGCTCACTCATTCCTGCATTCCCTCATTCACAAGTCACCGAATGTTGGCCACTGCCAAGCAGAACCTGCATAAGACACAGCGCTGACCTTCAGGGAGCCCACCATCTGGTGTGGGAGACAGACTTAGCAGTGAACTGCAGAAGTGCCTTTAAGCTCTGATGAGGTTAAATGCAGAGCAGGTTGCCTGGCCCGAGCAGGCGATCCCTAAGCCAAGTTCTCAAGACCACAGAGGAGTGAGTCAAACACAGGGGGTGGGTGTCGGTGTCCTGAAAGACATCCCATGGCCAGGGGTGGGAAGGACGTGGTGATGGCACAGAGCCAGCATGTTCTGGCAACTGTGACAAGTTGCGTCACAGCGAGTGTGAAGCAAGGTTGGGAGCAAAGTTGAGAACACGCAGGGGCTGTGTGTCAGGCTAAGGAGTTACCCTAATTGGAGATGAGGGAGGCCCTGGAAGTTGTAAACAGAGGTTAGTGTTAAGATAAGAAAGATCACTCTGGCTGCAGTGTGGAAAAGGAATTTTAGGCAAATCTAAGGCTCGAGGCACACCACGAAACGGGAATGACAAGAGCAAATCAGAACAAAGAACTAATATTGCCTGAAAACCTGCTAAATGTCAGGCGCTTTTACATATGAGTATATTATACCATTAAGATCCAAAAGTGTCCAGTTAGGCAGACAGTACGAGTCTCATTCAACAGATGAGAAACTGAGGCCCAGGGAGATCAAGTGACACTGTGGGGCCCAAAGTCACACGGCTGGTACATGGACAGGGCAGAACTTGTGGCTGTTCCTTCTATTCTGGCAGGCTGCCACCCTGCAGACTGACTGGGAAGTAGGGTGTGAAGGGACATGAAGTTAGAGGGACTAGCAGGGCAAAACTGGGCAGGAGACTCAAATGCCAGGCTGAGTGTGGACTTTATTCTGTAGTCATGGGAAGCCTCTGAAGGTTTCAGAGCATGCGGGTGACCTAAGCATAGCTGTTCACTGGGAAGACTCCCCTGGCAGAGCAGGGTGGACTAGATAGGTGCGAAGCAGGAAATGGGGGGCCTACTCACCAGTTGCCCAGCCGAGATTTACTGAGCACCCGCTGTGTGCCCCACCCTGCTCCAGAGACTGGAGCACCAGCAGTGAGCAAAACAGAGCTGCCTGCCCTTATGGATCTCACCTTCCAGTAGATGGGCAATAAAGAACAAAATAAAGAAGTGAAATATGCAGAAGGTTAGAAAGTGATACTTACTATGGGAAAAAAGTAGAGCAAGGTGCAGGGTTTGGGGGTGCCGGGGACTGCAGTGCTAAACAGGGTGCTTAGGGTGGCTCACTGCCAAGACGGTACCGGAGCGAAGACCTGGAGGAGGGAAAGAAGTGGACCCGCAGGCAGAAGGAACAGTTGGAGCAGAAGTTCTAAGGCAGGAGACTGTGCATTTGAGGCCCAGCAAGGAAGCTAGTGTCCTGGGGCGGCCAGCGCAGGCCAGAGGAGGGGCCGGGCAGTCAGGCTAGGCCTTGAGGTGAGAACTCTGGCTTGTACTAGTTGAGAGGCTGCTGCTGAAGGCCTGAATTAGAAGAGGAGCAGCAGAGGTGAAAAAGAGAAAAGAAATGGCATTTGAGGGGGAGAACAGATAAAACTTGGAGGCTGGTTAATGGGGAGGGGACAGGAAAAGAAAGAGTCAAATATGACGAAAAGGTTTTGGACCTGGTTCATGCTCAAAGAGGAAGAGTGCAAAGGGCAGAAGGTCGGTGAACACTTTCCTTTAACGAATGCTAATAAACCTCAGGCCTTTCTTGGCCTGAGAAACTTAAGCTCTGTCCCCTGCCTCCCTAAATGCTGCCCCAGTGCCCAGAGGAGAACCAGGTAAGGGCTAAGGGCCACGGAGCACTCTTACACTGGGCTCGCTGAGGAGGGCGGCTCCACTGCTGCAGCTTCGTTTCAGCCATACCCCTGCACACGCCCCCTTGTAATTCTCCAAGCATGCCTCACACTTCCAAAACCCCTCTGTGACTTTGCTCATGAAGGTGTCTCGACCTGGAACGCTCCTCCCTACCCTCCTTGAGTGTTTGGGTGTGAAAAAGAGTATATCTTGATGACTTCTTCCCCTCGTGCTCGCTCATATCTCCTTCACTCCTTTCAAAGTCCGTTCCCAGGCCCCCAGCTCACCTTCCTGGGCTGCTTTTAGCCAGGTGAGAACCAAAGTGACCCTCTCTTGGAACCTGGTCTGCAGGAGGGGGTTGCTCTCGAAGGGAAACCCTCAAAGAAAGATCCTCAGCTGGATTCAGCTTCTAAGTCCCAGCCGTCCAAACCTCTGCGACAATGCTCGGCATGTCCCTTCCCTTCTCTGGGTCTCAGGTGCTCCGTCAGTACAGTCTCCGCTACACCACGCAAGGTCACGGTCTTCTCTGGCCCCTCTGATCCTAATTCAGTCTTAGGCCAGACCAGAGAGCACCCGACCCGGATGGTCCCACCCAACCCCTGGCCCTCTGGTCGCCGACTCAAGGCGGGCTCCAAGGGCAATGTCGCGACCCTTACCCGTCCGTAGACACGCTCCCGGCCGGCCTCCGCGCGCCCGAAGACCGCACCCACGGAGCTCCAGCCGCCAGCGGCCGACCTTTCCTCTCTCCCCGCGTGAGCCGAGGATCAGCCGAGCCTCCTCCACCAAGGGGATTGGCTAGGCTTGCCGCTGGCTCAGCCAATCGGCGCTCACGGCGTGATACTGCCCAATGAGGCCAGGTCTCGGCCGCGAGCGCACCGCCCCATGACCTGGGCCTGGCCTTTGTTGGGTTAGCCCCACCCACTCCAGCCCTGCACCAATGGGGAGCGGGGCCGCGCGCGCGGGTCAGTGGGAACGGCGCGGAGTCGGTGTGTACGTCGGTTGCCGTAACAACGGGCGGCGGAGTCCGTCAGCGATGGTGAGTGCTAGACGCCCTGTCGCGCCCCGGGCGCCCCGCGAGCAGAGGCTGAGCCCTTTCCGGGCCTCGGTCCGGCCCCGCCGTCTCTCCTGCGCCCTTCTCAGCTTTGGCGCGCCCCTCCTTCCTCCGAGTTCGTTCCCGGAAGGGTAGGGTAGAGACGCCGGGCGCCCTGCTGGGCCTCTGATTCGCTGCTGCCTCGCCTTCACCCACACCTGGCCTCCACCCGCCCCTTGGGTTCCTTGGCCTTCCCCGGCCCCCTCGGTGACCGTCTTTGGGCAAAGAAGACTCGGATTCCCCGCAGGTCCCAACCCTTCTCAGACCCTGGCCTCCTGGCCGCCTCACTCTACCAAAGTTTCCGCACAGACCTGGGGGGAGGTTTATTATGTTTGATTGTTAACGTGCATTTTAGAATGTAAATATAGGGACATTCAGGGGACGCTTTGAGCTTCTTGGAGAAGGGACAAATGGGCCGAGTGGATTGAGTTTTATTATTCGACATTGACAGACTGTACATCTTAACCTAGTAATAGTTGGCGAAATCTAGAAGTAATCAGAAAGTCGGTGTACTTAGACGGAAGTGGAGTACCACGAGTGGTTGTTGTAAGGACATTTCTAGAATTAGGATTCCCAAATTCAGGCAGGGCTGATTATCTGTACAGTTATCCCCAGTCAACTCCTTGGCTAGCTCTCTTTGGGGATGATTTTCAACAAGAGATGTCCAAAAGAACAATTCTTAGAGACCATAGTAAAGAAGAGAGAGTGATAGAGGTGCATGGAAAGATTCATTGTTCTTTCCAGGAAACCCTATTGTCTTTCCTGTTAAGCAAAGCTTTGGAATTGGTTGGTGTAGACAATTTTTAAAATAGATATGGTTGTCTGTAACTTTTATGTAAAGCATGAACTGTATTGCATAATATTGTGCTTATGTGTTTGTAAAACGTCTAAAGGCCTCTAACTTTAAGAAGGCGAACATGGCATCAACTTCCCAGCGAAAAAGGATGAGTCCTAAGCCGGAGCTTACTGAAGAGCAGCAACAGGAAATCCGGGAAGCTTTTGATCTCTTCGACGCTGATGGAACTGGGACTATAGACGTTAAGGAACTTAAGGTAAGCACCATGCATTCCTGCTCCGCTGCCTTGCCTTTCCTCTGCCTCTTTCTCTTCTTTCTCTGTCACTGCTCTACCCCTTTTGCCCTCTTCTCCCTGTGAAAAATAACAAGAGAGGATGCACTGTGCTCTGTTTTCCCGTTTTTACTTACCTCGTGTTATTAAAGAAAGTTGAACGTAAATATCGATTTACTAAATGTTATAGTGTTTTCTAATCATTTTAACATGACTGTGTCTGATCCTGGCTTAATGCTCTCAACGCTGTCATTTTTGCTCCTGGTAGGTTTAGAGGTACATATTAAGATGATCCTCTTTTCCTTGTAGGTGGCAATGAGGGCACTAGGCTTTGAACCAAAGAAAGAAGAGATCAAGAAAATGATCAGCGAAATTGATAAGGAAGGGACAGGAAAAATGAACTTTAGTGACTTTTTGACAGTCATGACTCAGAAAATGGTAAGTTAGCTAAGATAATCAGCATATTTTCCACCCTCATGGTGGATACATTTGAATCATGTAAATGTCTTCATTGAGGAAAATTTAATACAAACTGGAGAGTTCAACAGATAAAGGATAGTATCTATGACTGAGATCAGGATGCTTAGATTCTCCTTAGCTTTCTTTGCCACAAAGTCACAAGAAGAGTCATTTTACCCTCTGTAAAGTAGTAACGGTACTACTGCTGTCACTTTTTGCTATTATCTTTCTCCAGCTGATTTGTCAGTGTGATAACCACAATCAGTAAAGCATGTGAACACCAACAATATATTACAGCGTCTTGCATTTTGACAAGACGAACTCCTTATACCTTAAAGTTTGAAATTCTTTTCTCTTCCATTCCTTCTGGGCAGCCCTAGCCTGAGGGCCAGTTAACTTCAGCAGCTACGCTTTCACTCTTCGCTGCGCTGGGGATTCGGCCTTTCAGCCTTTCCGAGGCTGAATTCACCCATTCTCTAGTCTCTCAGGTGTCGCCCTTTGAAAGGGTCGGAAGGGTCAAGAGAGACTATAAGATGTCACCCCAGCAGTCCACCTCACTCCCCTGAGTATGTTCCTGTTGGGCCACTGCTCTTTCCTTGGTCTCTTGGCTCCTCTTCCGTGTGGCTCATGCACGCTCTACTGCTCTGTGGAAAAGTAACTCCCTCAGTGTCTCAGGCGTGTTTCCTGGGGCACAGGTCAGTTCCTAGCCTAATAATTCTGTTGCTTTGAAATCATCTAATTATACCTATATTTTTCTTTGTGAAGTAATTTAAGAGCTCAGGAAGCTCAACGTTCTGTGACCACGTAGTAAAGCTGTCCCATATTCAAGGTTGGTTCCCAAATTGCCCCTCTGAGGGCTTCTCTCTATCTTTACCCACCTTTCAGGAATATTGGGAGTTTGAGCTCTTGGAGATTGTGCTCTGTTCCCCTGTTGGAGCACTTGAGATCACAGTCACTTTCTGTGATCTCGTAACAGTAAAATAGCCCTCTCTTTCCTCCCTGCCCATCCCCCACCAAGAAGATCCTTCTTCTACCAGCTTAAGCAGCATATTTCCCCTAATTTTAATTCCATCCTCTGCCCCTATATTTTAAAAACAAAGCCAATTTCTCTTTGGTTTGTACAGAAAGAATGTTTTAAGTCCAATCCTTTATATTTCCTTTTTACCCTCTGTGTTTATAACAATTTCATTAGTTTGTCCTCTTTTTCTATGCTGGATGATGTTTGATCTCCTGTGACCTCATGAAGGCCATCACCAGGACCATGTGGTGCTGTAGGGGCAGGGCAGAGGAATAGCAGTGTTTCCCTACTCATGTGTTTTATGTTCTACTTGTTCAGTCGGAGAAAGATACCAAAGAAGAAATCTTGAAAGCTTTCAAGCTCTTTGATGATGATGAAACTGGGACGATATCGTTCAAAAATCTCAAACGCGTGGCCAAGGAGTTGGGTGAGAACCTCACTGATGAGGAGCTGCAGGTTTGTAATGCGTCAGACTGGAACTCAGAATTCCTGCTTGGAGTCCTGTTTTACTGTTCGGAGTTACATTTTCTCTGATGTGAGCACAGCTTTGAAGGAAAACTAGTGTTCTCTTGTTCCTCTGCTGACCACTTAATTTCTCTTTTGTTAGTGTGACAAACCTATGGATCCTGCCCCCAGAAAGATACACATGTATACAATTTTACTGTTTTAGGTTTTAGGGATCCCCTGGTCAAGATGATCTTCAAGATTCCTTCTAGGTGATATGTGTGACGATATATGACTTGCTTTTCAGATAACTTTTCAGGAAGCAAGCTATTATAAAAAGTGCATTTGCATTGGGTGGGCTCAAACTGTCTATTGATGTAGCATTATAAAAGCCTGTTGCTTCGTCACATTTTAGTTTCATTTATGAATTAATCTAACCAGAATCCTTACTGTCACGCAGGAAATGATTGATGAAGCTGATCGAGATGGAGATGGAGAAGTCAATGAGCAAGAGTTCCTGCGCATCATGAAAAAGACCAGCCTTTATTAAGATCAGTCTCTTCTTTTCTACTGCAAGCAGACGTATCTAGATTTAGTGCCTGCTATTGTGTGAAACCTGGTCTTTGAGAACACAAACTCTTTTTCCCCCACGCTGACCTCCCTGTATAACTTTAGTTAATAACCTTGAATCTTAGACTCTTAAAAGTGTTCTTTGACATTAAAGTTCTTTGTAAGGTGACCTGCTGCTTACTTTAATTCCCCAAAGCAGAGCAAGAGCACGTTAGAGTGGAGAGAAGCTTTTACCAACCTGCCATTCTGCCTTGTATCGCTTCACTCTTGTCACGCGTTCCCACATTTATACCACCACAGAATGACTTCTTAGACAAGCAAATGTTGTACCCGGTGTTATCACAAGCAAGGGGCATCTCTTCAATGGTTCTGGTTTTAATTGTCACCTGAGCACAGCTTTCTCTTTTATAAAACCCAGTGAGCTCTCTCACTTGCATTTGGATGTCTGTGATATTTTTTTTGTCTTAAAGCCTTTCTTATTTTGAGCTTTTGTTCTCTAAGGATGAGTTCTTTAGCCTTCACTGTGAGTTCATCTCCTAAACCATTCTGTGGAAGGCAGCCTGGTAGATCCCAGACTCCTTACCAGCCTGTGGACAGAAAACAAAATAATCCTTTGCTACTGGCATGAATTATTACTTGCCCTGGGAACCCATTGATGTGTAAAACTAGTAGACTTTCTATTTTGCCAAAGCCTAAGTGATGCTCTAAAATAGTTTTGGCAAAGTATAAGGCCGAAAAAGAGTCTTATTGGTAATTTGTGCTTGGACAAATCAGGGAAAGCCAGGTTATTAGGACAGTAAGTTGAATTCAGCCAACCTCTGGTCAGTTTATTTGGTGGATGGTGTCTCAGAATCTCAGTGTCAGGTTGGGTTGAGTGACCTTGTCCAGCCCGCTCCTGGCCCTACACGGGATGACCTATAAGAGAAGCCCTGGCAGATAGCATTAAAATCTCTGCCCCAGGCTGAGGGTGGGGAGCAAGAAGGGGCGAGGGGGAATGGAAACGCACTACAACAACAAGGGAATGCTCATTCACCCACCCGAGGAGAGGGAGGGAATGGGTTTTGCATGTGGGGGCATCCTAATCCTGGGATAGGGTTGCCTGATTTAGCTAACAAAAAGAGAACACGTGGGTCAATTTGAGTTTCAGATCAGCAACAAACTTATTTTAGTACAAGTATATCCCATTTGGACTTTTTGTTGTTTATTCATTGTTGGTATGAAATTCAACTTGACCTGGGTGTTTTGTATTTCAACTTGCAACCCTGTGTGACACTGGGCCTCATCCTGGGGGACTTGGGGCCCCTCAGATGCATCTGCTGCAGGAGGGACTGCTCCTTGAGAAACATGACTGTTGGGGAACCCGGAGTAGCCTCAGACCTGGCTTCTCACATGGGCTCCAGCACTTCCTGGCTGGGTTATTTGGGACAAGCTATTTCTCTGGGTGTCTCGGGTTCCTTGTCTGTGCAATGGGGAGAAGAGTTGTGCTTAACCCGGAATCACTGGGGGGGTGGGGGCAATGAAAACTTACATAAAGGGCCTGGCTTTACGGTATCCAATAAGGAGGCATTTCAGAAGTGTTTGTTCTCACTCTCAGTCCTTTGGTCTGCTTATCACATAAGCTTTCTTGTTACATATGGGTCCATGAAGCTTTTATGACTACTGTCCCCAAGGTAGAGTTGACAGCACTTCCTGGGAGGATATGACCTTTGTTGCACTGCTGTTTTCTGATAAAGGGCATATGATCTGATAAAGTACATACAATATTGGAAAGGAGTGAAAAGACTGGGCCCTACTTCTCATTTTACTGTTAACTGTCACCCTCCAAACGTTCTTATCTCCTCCTGCTTAATGTTCTCATAAATGAAATCGTCAGGAATCTCTTGGGGGGAGGGAGAGTGGTAAGTAACGTGTTATCCCTGAGGATAAAAACAAGCATAACGTACTCACCATCCGCACCTGGCAGCCATTCTCAGATAGGTTTGCAGTTGCTCAGTGGAGAGGATGGGGACAGAGACAGAGCACAAACCAGTGGATGTGGGATGGGGGCAGAGAGTTGCAGGGAGGTCAGGAAGATGGGGACTTAGAGGGAACCAGGGCCAGTTCATGTGGAGGCAGACAAGAGAGCTGTAAGGGGAGGGGGATGTGGGTGGAAAGGGGGCTGTGGTAAGTTCATGTGGAACTGGACCAGATAGATGGAAAGGTTGAGAGGGATGGGGAAGGAATAGTAGGAGAGGTCATTGCAGGTGCAGATTATGCAGACAGTTGTAGAGTGAGTGGTGGGTGATGGGGAGGGAGAAGAGCAGAGGTCAGCTCACATGGGACTGGACCAAGAGATGTAGGGGAGATGGCAGCAGGGTCGGGTAGGGACAGAGAAGTAGAGGAGGTTAGTTTCTGTGGGACTGGACCAGGGAGATGTATGGGGAGTGGTTAGGTAAGATCTGGAGTGTGTGGAGGTAGATAGGGAGAGGCAGGGCAGGTCAGCTCACGAGGATGGTCTACAGACCTGGAGGGGTATGAAGGGGGATTGGCAGAGAGAGAGGGGAACAGGGGTCAGCCTTTGTGGGTGGACCAGAGAGATGTAGGGGAAATAGGGTGGAGTGGAGTTGGGGAAGTAGCAGAAGTCAGTTCAATTGGGGATGGACCAGACAGATACTAGGGGGTGAGAGGGGACTGAAAAGTAGAGGGACTGAGGTCAGTGCTTATGGGCAGGAAAGAGTGAGTAGGGAGGGAGGGGAAAGGGAGCAAGGGTTAGTTCATGTGCAGATGGACTAAAGCTGTGGGAGCTTGGGGGTGATGGCGAGGAGGAGGGAGCAGGTATTAGTTCATGTTCAGCCCTGCAGAGAGCTGTAGTGGGATCAGGGGTGATGGGGAGGGAAGGAGTACAAAGGTCAGTTCATGTTGGACTGGACCGGAGAGCTATAGGGGAGTGGGGGTGGGATTTTGACATAGAGAATGCAGATATTGGTTCATGTGAGTATGAACCCGAGAACTCTGGGAGTTGAGGGGAAGGGAGAGGAGGAGGGAGCAGAGATTCCTTCATGTGAAGCTTGACCAGAGGTATGCAGGTGGAGTTGAGGGGAATGGGAGCAGAGGTTAGTTCATGTGAGGGTGGAGTAGAGAAGTGCAGGGGTATGGAGGGGTGGAGAGAGAGAGAGAGGGCATTCCATGTTGGGCTAGGTATTGGAAAGGAGAGGGAGCTGAAGTTGATGTAAGATGTGCCGGAGAGAGCCATATGGAGATGGCAGGGATGTGGGTGGAGAGGGAGCAGAAGTGCCTTCATATGGGGCTGGAGCAGAGAGCTGTAGGGGGATGGTGGGGTCAGGGAGAAGAGGGAGCTGGGGTCAGTTCCTATGAATATGTGGCAGAGATATCCAGGGGGATGGTGGGAACGGGGGCTTTAGAGGAGGACGGTGGATGGGATGGGGAGGGAGAAGAAATCAGTTCCTGTTGGGCCTTGAGGGCCTTCCTAGTAACTCTGGGACATACTAAGTTTCCTTGAAAGAACTCTCTGGTGGATTAGTCTTTTCTTTGCTCCAAAGTGTTCGAACTGCTGTAAACAGCTGGATTCATGGGTAGTCATACTCAAACTTAATATAAGTAGAATCTATCTAAGGAAGTTGTTTAAAGAAAGGAGGTAGCTCAGTTTCTGTCCTTTTAGACGTGGAAGAGCTGCTGGACTCAGAAGGATGACAGGGCATGGAAGGGAGGAAAGGCATACTGGCTGCTCTAGGGGGCCTCTTGACATCCTTTCACCCTCTATCAGATTGGAAACTTTTGTTTTTGTCATACTGTCAAATACTAGGATTTTGGGCAGCAGACTCAACGGGAGTAATACACTCAAAACAACACTTTACCCATGATTACAACTCAATCACACCTCCATAGAAAACAGCCAACAGTCATCCCACTACACACTTAGTCACTCTTCGGTTGGACTAGAACTGCTTGCTCCTTGATGGTGCTCCCCCATGAAGCCAAGTTCCCCTACAGTCCAGGAACTACCCTTTTTTGAGCCCTCCATGGCTGTTGTGATCAGTGTCTTACAGCAAGTGGCTCCCTCCTCCGCTCTATGTCTCTTGACCTGCTCAGCTCAACATCTTATATTCTAGGGCCTGGCCCCATGGCTGAGTGGTTAAGTTTGCACACTATGCTTCAGCAGCCTGGGTTTTGCACTTTGGGATCCTGGGCTTGGACCTACACACTACTTATTAAGCCATGCTGTGGCGGCATCCCACATAGAAGAACTAGAATGACCTACAACTAGGATATACAACTATGTACCGGGGCTTTGGGGAGAAAATAAAAAAAGAGGAAGATTGTTAGCTCAGGGCCAATCTTCCTCACCAAAAAAAGAAAAAAAAACCATCCTATATTCTAGAAGTCACTGGAATATCGTGCATCTTCAATTGTAGCAAAAGTAATCAGTCTGCACTGATTGCAGCTGTGAAACAGTGACGCCATCCCAGCGTGCCATGCTGTGACATATCAGACACATTTTGTGACCCAAATCTTCATCAGCAGTGCCCAAAACTCTCACAGGGGCTCTGGGCCCATTTCTAGAACATCACCGTCAGAACTTGATGTGTCTGGAAGCCAAGTCACCTCTTCTCTAGCTTCTCCCCACTGATCCCCCTTAACTGCCACCTTCAGGGAAGGAGCTTAGCCTTCAGACTTAGTCATATCTGGTTTAAATCCCAACTCTTATGCTCATTAGCTGTGGCCTTAGAGTGACATGAATGAACTATCTTGAGCTTCTGTTTCCTCATCTGGAAAATAGGGGTGCTGTGAGGTCAAAGGAAGCTAACAAGTGTCCGGTGTATAGCGTAGCACTGACACCTGGTGAGCATGCAGTGGGTCATGCTCCCACCCACAGCTTCATGTAGAGCCAATCCACTCCTCTTGGCCGCTGACGGTCACTGTGCATTAGCCTGTTTTTATCTTAGCTTGGACTGTTCTGTCCTAAGTGCCTATGTGTGTTAACCTTGGCATAAAGTTAAGTTCTATCCACGTACCTAGGCCTCTGCCATTGTCCCTCTTAAAATGTTGCTCCTATCTTTTCCCCAAATCTGTATTCTTTTCTTCATATGAAACTCCCCCTCAGAGCTCCCTCCTTCCAGGAAAACTTTTGTTTGAGAGTAGAGAGGACTTGTGCACTACTTCCCAGCTGGGATTCTGAGACAGCAGCCTTGCAGATGTATCCTTTGCCATTAGGTGGGGTGCCAGGATGGAGAGGCTCCAAGGCACCGAATCACCTGGAATCCGACAGCGGTTCAAGCTGGATCTTCTCAGTACCCCTGGAGGGCTGTGGTCCCAAACAGCCTTGGAGTGTGATGGAGAGGATGCCATAGTGGAGAGAATCCTGGCAGGGCTGTAGACCCCTCAGAAAAGCCACTAGGTACGGACACTGATGGAATGCTAGCTTGTCAGCTTGGGTGC